GTCACTTTATAACAGGGTCCTCTTATCAGCCCGGCACGGGGTCAGGTGGCCGCTCGGAGCCAATGAGCAGTCCCCCTGCTTCGGATTAGACCCCGTCCTGAAACCGGCTCCCTGGTTTACAGCAGGTCACGAATGATGGAAAAAGTACAGAGTCCAGGGGAAGGCTGGCTCCGGACCTTCTGAATTCCGGGATTTTTTTTTTATTTGATTTATTTTTTATTTTTTCATCACTTTCACTCCGGGTCGCCGTGGCCCGCCGCGTCCTCCCCCCAAGGCTACACCGTGGGACACGCTGTGTCTTTTCTGCTGCTCAATGGTTTCTGCTGTAAGCCCAAGGGCCGCCTGTCGTTTCCTTGAGGATGTCGTCCAGCTCGGACCCTGGGGACTCGCAAGACTCCCCGAAGCACGGACGGGTGCCTGTGGGTGAGTAGGCCTCGCTCTGTCCGTCACCCGTGTAGGGCTCCGCTCTCAGAGGAACGCACGTCACTTACTGTCACGGATGTAGTTAGTGTGATAAGTCACTGCTTTTCCTGCTGTCTTCATCCAGGGCACATCAGCCCGTGTACCTACCACCCATGTATCTTCCCCGAAGTTCAAAAAAAACCCAGTGGATATTTCAAATATTATTTTTTTTTATATCCACTGTGGTTTTTTTTTTTTTTGGAGATCATTCTATTAGCCTCAAACCAGCCGGGGACGACATGTGTCCATGTCACCCCTAACCGTTCCTGATCATTTTTTCTTTTTTCATCCGAAATAACAAGGGGAAATGGGAACAACTCCAAACAAAGTAACCATATGGCGTGATCCGTCTGCGATCACACACCGCACTTGACCCGGGAGCTTTCAAATGCCTGTGGGGTTTCAGGCCCCAGCACGGTGGGTCCTCTCATTCATTGCCCACACTATATATATATATAAAAAAAATGTTTTCCTGGCCAATAAAACTCATGCAAAAAAAATCCCCTTACCCTTAGTTACGGGTGAGAAGGGAAAGGGGCTGTCTTGTGTTTCTAACCAGGAGTCAGTGAGAAAGCTCATTTTCACTTAAAGAGGGAGAGGCACAAACTTGATGTCACAGCAAGATTGCACCCAATTCATCCTGAAAGAAAAGGGGGGAAAGGGGGGGGACCCGGGGAGGTGGGTCGGGAGTCTGTCATGACCGGTTTCGTGGGAGTCTGTCTGCCTTCCTGTCCCGAGGTGGTGAGGCCCCAGCCTTTCCCCGCAGTCCTTTGCTGGGCTTTCTCGGGGGGAGGCTGGGGGGTTGGGGGGTGTCCCCGCGGACGCCAGGGCCCGTCCTGAGCGCGGAGTCCCCGATTCCGTCCATTTTTTTCTGAGATCAACTGTGTTTTAACAAAAGCCTTTCCGGAGGGGTGTGAAATCAGCTCACCTGATTTCAATAATTTCTCCAATTTACTTTTCCCCTTCTCAGCACCATGCTGCCTGCAGTGATTGCTTCTTTTATGGGCTCGCTACACCCCAAAGTGGAGCAATTGAGGAAATGGTTCCCGAGCAAAAGGCGCCCTGCCCTGGAGAGAAAGGGCACCGGGACTGGCACGCGGGGCGCACGGGGGTGGACGGCCCTGCGGAGCCAGGAGGACGGGGGCGCGAAATGATTCCGAAGCGGTTTTTGGGGGGTTTGTGTTTTGGGGTGTTTTTACTGTTATGAATCGTAATGTACATATCTGACCTGCAGGATGTATTTTCATTGTTACAAATTGAACATAATTAAAGCATAGTGATTAATCACAAAAACATTACGTAATTATATATGTGTTTTCCGATGGTCTTATGTGACCCTTGTGAAAGGGTCGTTCGACCCCCAAAGGGGGCGCGACCCACAGGTTGAGAACGCTGGTAAGCTATCTTGACAAAATACTTCTACTCAATAAAATGTGCCAGTTAACCACAATGGTTTCTATAGCTAATGAACAAAAATTCCCTGATCTTTTTTCTAATACTCATCACAAAAGTACCATGCCTTAAAAAGCCCCACGGCCGTGCGACGCCCCTGTAGGCGGCATCTTACCCAAAGGGCGGCCTGAGGAGGATGGAACCGGGTGGAGCCATCAGACGGAACAGCTGAGTCCCGGGGCTGACCCCATCGCCAAGGCTCCACCCACAGTTGGGAGCAGCCGGGGGTTAAAGGGCTTCTCTGTCTCCGCTCCTGAGGAGCCGGGAGAGGTTTGTGCAGGAAGCGGGGACAGGCTTGGCGATGCCTTCTCTCTTGCCCGCTCCGCCCAGACTCCAAGTCTAGGGTGACCTTGGGTTCCGCGTTGAACTTGAGCTGAGCCGGAGAAGGGCCTGGGAAGGCTCCAACCTGGAGGCCGAGCCCCCGCCCCCAACATGGCCGGGGATGCTCCCCCAACCCAGAGCCAACCTCAGCATGAAGCCACTTCTTTGGGTTGCATGTCCTCACCCTTCACCTTCTTGGAACAAAAGCCTCTCTGAGCCCTGGCTTTTTTGGCTCAGTGGTTAGAGCATGGGCCTGCGGGCTGCAGGGTTCTGGGTTCAAATTCAGTCAAGAACACATGCCCAGGTTGCAGGCTCGATCCCTGGTCCTTGTCGGGGCGCGTGGGGGGTGTCTCTCTCACATCCATTTTTCTCTCGGTCTCCCCTCCCTTCCACGCGCCCTAAAATTCAATGGGAAAAGTACCCTCGGGTGAGGATTAAGGACAACAGAAAACCTCCTGGACAAATCCGGTTAGCTTCAGGGAGCTTCAGGAGTTTGGGGGGACGGGCACTGTGGTTGGGGAGCCCTCCCCCCAGAAGAGGTGAGATGCGCTCGGGGAGCGTGAGTCAGCCTGGGAGGACCCTCGGCCTGAAGGTGAAGGTGACCGGACACATTCCTGGAGGCTGCGTCTTTACTTAGGCTTTCGGGAAGCTGTTAGGTGTGTTTTTGTGTGATTGAGAAGAAGAAACACTGAACTTTCCATCTTTAAATAATCTGGATACAGAGCAGTTTGAGGAGCAGTTCCAGCTGCGGCTGATGTCATTGGTCCACCTTTTCAGCTGCGGGTGACGTCATTGGTCCACAGTTTCATCTGCGAGTGACGTCATTGGTCCACAGTTCCAACTGCGGCTGACGTCATTGACGTAGTTTCAGCTGTGGGTGATGTAACTGGTCCACCGTTTCAGCTGCGGGTGATGTCATTGGTCCACAATTCCAGCTGTGGGTGACGTCATTGGTCCACAGTTTCAGCTGTGGCTGATGTCATTGGTCCACCGTTTCAGCTGCGGCTGACGCAATTGGTCCAGTTTCAGCTGCGGGTGACGTCACTGACCCACAGTTCCAGCAGCGGGTGACGTCATTGGTCCACAGTCCCAGCTACGGGTGACGCCATTGGTCCGTGAGGACTGCACGGGAACACTCACCTCAGCAAGGACCTTGGCATCTTTGGTGACTGATTTCCTTCCGGTCAGAGAGATGAGTTTGGGGGGACCATAAGGGGGGGAGGTGGAGAGAAGCCAAGGAGAGCTGGCCTGTACCCACAGCTGCCTTCCTGGCTCCGTCTGGCCCAACTCCGCAGTTGACTTGTGAACCCGCTTTTCCTGGTGAAAATAGCGCCCGCGAGGCCCAGAGGGTTACCCGGGACCCCTCCGCTTGTCCGGAGAGTGAACTGGACACAGAAACCCAGGCTGGATCCCGGGGGGAGGGAGGGACTCCGCCCTGGCTGCTAAGAAGGAATGAGGAATGAACCAGTGGGGGGCAGAGGGTGTGGGGATTGAGGACGGTGGGAAGGGAGACTTAGATCTGGGCGGACCTCAGGCGGCTCCAGGGTGGGGCCGGGCGGGTGGGACACCCTGGGGGGGGATGGAGTCTGGATGAAATTATCCTTTATATGTTTTCACTGATGTCAGAGAGGAGGAGGGAGAGGGCGCGAGAGAGAAACATCAATGGGGGAAAATCATGGATCAGCTGCCTCCTGCACGCCCCTCACTAGGCAGTGAGCCCGCAAGCCCGGCTGTGACCTTGCCCTGAATCGAACCCGGGACCCTTCAGTCTGCAGTCTGCGGGCCGACGCTCTATCCACTGAGCCAAACCGGCCAGGGCGACAGCGAACCTTGAGAGTCAGAAAGAGAGCTGCAGAAGGCCCCAACTTGGGCCAAACTCCCAAACCTCACCCTGCCCTCCGGGCAGGAGTGGGAGGCGGCCTGGGGGAGGGGTTCCTGGAGCCTGGAGGGTGGGGTCACCTCGCCTTCCGCCCACCCCAGCCCCCCCACCCCAGGTACCACCACAGCCCCTGGTGCCCTGAGAGCAGGAAGAGATACATTGTTTCCAAACAAGGCGGTTCTCACCACCCACCTCCATCCCTTCAAAGCCTCGCTGATACAATGTTTCCAGGTGTGAGCCGAAGCGTAAGGGTCTTTACTTAGAACCCAGTGCGCGGGGTTCGGGATTCGGGGCGCGCGGCTGGGGGGCGGGATTACCATGTAAATGCTATTACAGGAACTAAAGTGTCTGATTTTAATTAAGATAGACATCAACTTAGAGCTTCTGTTGGCTATGTGGCGGCCTCTTTCTAGAGATTTTTCTGGAGAAGAAAGCTCCCTCTGGGGCCCAGAAGTAGGCCCGCGCCGGGAGGAAAGGAATTCTTTCTTCTGGTTTCTCCAAAACACCCAAACGCGGGCTGCAGGCGGCCTGAGGCACGGTTTGCAAGAATGCAGATTTGCGAGGGGAAAGGGGGGACCTTGCCAGGCTTCCCCCACCCTCCACCCCCACCCCCAGGCGCGCGGGAGGGGGCCAGTGCGTCCCCCA